GAGGTAAAATCAAGCATTTTGTACAGTTGCCAAACAGACGAAGTAGATTTACAACTGATGAATGACCTTGCATTATCCTACGGCTAAGCCGTAACTTAACCTCCTATATATCAACTGTTATTTTGTATTGATTGTGTATACCAGCTTATTATATTGTTATAAACAGCGTTTGTTTTTGTTATTTTCCGTCGCCAACAGTGACGTACAAATATATATTGAATGTTTAAACACTTCAAAAGGTTTATTCGTTTATTTTTTTTCTAAATGTGACGTAATTTGAATGTTGTATTTCCTCGTGTTACCAACTGCGATCAATATAATTCATGAAACATGATCAGTGGTTAATCACTTTGACTAAAATATAATCAAACTGACAAACAAGAAATAACGAGCGTATTGCTGATAGAGATATAGAAAAATACATATACGTTGTGACATAGTGAATTTATGAGAACAAAGAAAACAGTAATCTTTATGGAAATTAAAAATAAAACCGAAGCTAAAATATGAATTGAAATTTTTTTTTTACACAGAGTCCAATGTAAGTATGCAAGAGGAGAAGAAAGCCATGGTGAAAACAGTTTTATATTCCGAAAGAAAGAATACTGTCTCTAGATTATATCCTTATTCATCCTTCTCTCCAGTACTTAATGTCATATTTGAAACAGACAACAATGTTAACAACGATGTAAGACATACAAACAAAATACACCAACAGAATAACTGTATTCCACGATGAAATAAAGTCGGTTTAACTTCTAATCGAAAATCAGCAGTAAACAGTTCTACTGGATCAATATTGGACATTTGATGACATATTGAACAACAACAACAACACATTTGTCTTTTATTCCAAATATTAGATATACATAAAAAAACGTCTTACCTGACACGGATGAGAATCGATTATATAGATAAGTACATAAAACGTATCCTAATCGACTGCCTTTCTAAAAGTATTGTGACATTATTACTGATGAAATAAAATTATCTATTATTAATTTTACAACTGGATTTTTGTCTATGTTGTAATATCAAATAATTCCCATTAGAATATATTACATTCGATGCATATTGTTGAGCTTTTCGTAATTTTTATATGACTATACACATTAATGAATATAGGTGAGAAGATCCTGTGAGATTTGTACTTAAATAAATAATTTTCATTAAAGTGTCAAAATACGTTTCAGTCATTTTGAAATAAATCCAAAATTTCTTCTTATTTGAGACGGAAATACCTCCAATCTGTCTCCACCGGGCCCTGGTCGTCTGCCAGGACCGTTTCAGACCGAGAAGATAATTGGCGTTTTCCGAGTTCAAAAGGTTTGAGGTATTTACACAAAAAATGTTATCATGATTTTTTCATTTTTACGAAACATTTCCTGTCACAGATCTGATTTTTTCTACTGTGAACACGAAATTTGATTCAACATTAAAAAGCAAGAGGATAACACTAATTTGGAAAAATCCAAGACGAAATATTTCAATGATAAAAAGTGTGTGTTTTTCAGTCAACATTACTGTCTCCATAAGCAGTAAGATGAGCGAAGTAATTTAACTCCCTATCTAGAACCTTTTCTAAATGCGAAAAATTATTCACATAGAACATTAAGTTTTTAATTCAAGGTTTCATTAAATTGTGATGTATATGTTATTTTTTGCAATACACGTGGGTATGAATAAATCATTAAACAAATCTACTACACGTGGGTATGAATAAACCATTAAACAAATCTACCACACGTGGGTATAAATAAACCATTAAACAAATCTACCACACGTGGGTATGAATAAACCATTAAACAAATCTACCACACGTGGGTATGAATAAACCATTAAACAAATCTACCACACGTGGGTATGAATAAACCGTTAGAAGTATTAGAACAATTAGGTAAAAACCAACAACTATACAAATCTATCACACGTGGTTTTAAATGGCGAGAAAACCACAATACAAACCAACGACTTGTCAGAAATAAACATCCAGTCATATATATCTCTCTCCAGTCAGATATATCTCTCTCCAGTTAGATATATCTCTCTCCAGTCATGTATATCTCTCTCCAGTCAGATATATCTCTCTCCAGTTAGATATATCTCTCTCCAGTCATATATATCTCTCTCCAGTCAGATATATCTCTCTCCAGTTAGATATATCTCTCTCCAGTCAGATATATCTACCATGCTTAAATATATCAACAATCTGCTATCTGCCGTAACAGTATAAAGTGATTCAAATAGGGCAATAATTAAACCACAATATAAAATTACTACACTTGAGCATAATCAAGCAACAATAAAAGGCAATACCCAAATAGGAGCAACATCTCGTAAAAAGAACCGCAAGACAAATTGACCCTGCCTGCAAATTAACCATACACATGTATAAAAAAAAGCATACAGAAGTACCACACAAAGACAAACAAACAGGTGTGTACAACAAGCAAGGTAAATAAAAACTTCAAGTTTTAATTATGCAGAAGGTACAGATACATGACTAGGTTATCTACATCACTGAAATAAAAGTCGTACAACATAAAGAGGGCACTGCTTGTCTCGGTTGGAGGAGTTCACTCTGTTAGCGCCTCGCTCGATGAAAACAGTTGCACCGGAAATATGGTTTAATTGGCTCTGTGTACATGTGTTATTCTATATGGCCGCAAAAGATCAAATAATTTAAGTCACAACTGTCAGTTTTATTAAATTTATTAAGTGATATCGATAAACATGAATAACTTTAAGAATTTATTTCTAACAAATCGTTAATGTCTTGTCGAGTTTAGTCACAAATAAATTCCTATTTTCCGTGGCGTTTTCCTTACGATCGATACTATATTTTATTCAATTTCAGACCAATGTTCTTAAGTTATACGATGTCACGATAAAAAGTACATAAATCCATTATGAAGATGATCAGGATACGGACCTCCCCCGTTTATATTGGAGTCCTAAACTTCACAAGAATCCATATAAACAACATGTTATATTTGGCTAGTTTAGCTGTTCAACAAAACCATTTCACCAACATACTAAGTACTATAAAATCCAGATTAATCTTGCTGTGATACTGTTTACACATTAAGTAGAATTAATGGTTAATGGATTTTGAAGAAATCGATATTCAAGGTAATTTCCCCTTTTCACGATTTTTATGGAAGGATTTGTCAACTGATGGGCAAATTCGTAACACAGGGTTTCAAAAGATGCAGGTTGTTAAAAAGTCATAGGGAAGTTTACTGATCACCATACCTATCTCAGGCGTCTCCTGTCAAGCCTTCTTTTGTTCATATTCTAGCCTGGTTTTACGGAATGTGAGTTTGGATCATGATTATGTTGACAGTTTGGTATTTTTATTATTATTATTTTAGATCAATTCATTATGTCATCAATCGTCATCACTGGACATATTTTCATGGCATCTGTTTTATAAAGCAAACGATGTTACTTTTAACCGTAGAATGCTTACAGCAAACGCCATATTGAACGTCTGACAATGCCGAGGTTACAGTCGTTCAAAAACGTTTTCAATTATAAGATTTTCACAAGAAATTAAGCATTTTAAGAAATTAAACAAGTCGTCATTTATCAAAATAATAACATATTTCAACGGTTTGGATATTGAAAAACCTGTTTGATAAATCGGCTACATTTTGTATGTTTTCTCAAGAGAACGACTGTATAAATGCATGGCATATGGCATTAACCTTTGACTTATCGTAAAGTACTATCGACTTAATGATTCCGTCGTCTGTTGCGGTCAGTGATGGGTGGTCGTCTGTGAATAAGTGCTCGGCGTAGATGAACTCTATATTGGAACAAAATGCTAAAAATAGATATCAGAAAGTGTTCAGCCTCATTTAGCTGGGGTCTGTTCAATTCAGAAAGATGATGCTTACATTTCTGCGCCATGTGTTTTGATGTGATACTCAGTCTTCTTGGTCTGGCTCATGATCAGTTAATTTCAAACATTCTCAAAAGATAAATGTTGGAACGTTCTGCATTTAAAACTAAACATACATTTTTTTATGGTTCAAGATAGCAATATCTTATTCATCAACATAACTGTCTCACTTTGACGGAAATATTTACAAAGAAGAAAATTATCAAATGAATTTGTGTAAAGCTAACATGAAATGAACATCATTTATTAAGGGTTTCGATATCATGCTAATTAGGTGTTATCTACAACGCTGTCTGTACTATTACATTTATCCTTAGCCAAAGTTACGTAATTAAATGGATTTAAGCCAGTTAAATGAAATGAAAACATTGCTTAATCTAACACATGGACCCACCAGTCTAAATGATAACTAGTGAAATCAAAATAAGATATATTTATAGGGCGTTAAAGCATCATAATACCAAACAACAAAATACCAAAACAAGAACCAAAAGCAATACATATTGTTATTGCAAACAATCAGAAATCTTTGGACATCCAAATACATTTGCTGTATGTCCTATCAAATATACCGACCAATATGTTTCAGTATGCTATAAGCGGAAATTGTACCATTATATTCCACCTAAAATATAACATTTGCAATTTTGGATGATCTTATTATGGACCTGAACCTTGATCCAATGTAAAACAAGTGGTTTGTCAGGTGACCAAATAGGTCACACAACATTGGGGAACCCAGTTCTGGTTGTCTAGTTCGATGATGATCATTTTTTTCCTATATTCTATTCCATCATTTCATCGAAATCATTCTACTTGGCTAATAATAACCATTCAATAATGTCATTCTCAATCCTTTTACTACAATTTGTGCTAATCCAGTAAATAAAAGCGTTATGAATTCTTCGCCAACCAAAGGTCATATTTTGGTATCTTAACAATAAATATTGCGACCTAGAACGTCAGCAGAAGCTAGTTTGTCTTATAAACCTATGTCTGAGAAAAAGGCTTTTTTGTCCAAATAATAGTATCTTCCCTTTCTCTGATTGATTATTGACGTGTATATGTCTTTCGTTCCAGGTTGGTTATCGCAATGATTCGACAAATCACGAACAGCTTTATCACAAAGGAAAAATGTATGGAACTTTTCTCTAATATAACTGTTCCTGCGGAAGCAGGAAACTATTGCCACGCGACACATGACGGCAGCTCTTGTTGGCCGCCAACTTTGGCAGGAACACAAGTGAAACAGCCATGTCCAACATTACCTGACCTGGAACTGAATCCGTCCCAGTTTGTATATAGACGTTGCGGATTAGATGGCGAATGGTCAGATATCACTGATGCACATATCGTTTTTCAGAAGACACTTTATGAGGAATGTTTCATTAAAGGCCCAACTTTAGAGTCGCTAAATCAGAATGCAAAAATATCGAATATTCTTGGCATAGTATTGCTGCTCGTCTCTCTGATAACAATATTTGTTGCACTTTTGATATATTATGTAGTTTTACCAAAATTCGTAAATGGAATTTTACATGTAAGAGTGCAAAAACACTTGTTTGTGTCTGTCATATTTGACGCTACAACAAAATTGACCATTCAGATGCTACTACTTTTCCAGCTGCAGAAAATTGCAACAGTTGAGATAACTTTTGCCCACGAATTCCTTGCCACCTTAAAACAATATTCAGACCTAGCAATGATTTTGTGGTTAACTAACGATTCACATTTTCTACAAGTCATTTCAAGGTCAGGGCAAATTTGCAATTCAGGATACATGACTTACATAGTGATCGGCTGGGGATTACCCATCGTTCCAACATCCGTCTGGGCCGTTTCCATGGCAGTGAGTCACAAAGTTAAAGACTGGACAGGTCATACAGAATCTCCATTGATTTGGATAATGGAGATCCCAAAGCTCTTGGCCCTATTAACGGCATTCTCGTTTCTCGGTGTTACAACCTATCGTGTCTTCGCGAGGACAAAACATACAAAACACAAATCACACCTAGACGTACGGAAGATAAAATATGATATCTTAATGTCTGGCATATTTTACCTTGTTATCCTGGTCTCAGTGTTATTCATTATGATCATTACGCACGCGCGCATTAAATGCATTTCATGCTCATACATTTCCACAATCCTGTCTTCTTCACACGGTATACTGTTGTCGATATTGTATTGTTTTCTCAATAACAATGTTCATGCTTACATCAAGTATAGTCAGACAGTGATACCCACAGCTGCTTAAACCTCCACTTTTTTCTGACTATAAATGCATGTTGAATATATTTTAAAACAACAAAGCTAAGATATCTACATGTCAACACAATCGTATTTCAAACTCTTATTCCATCAATGGTAGAAATATGGACAAAAGAAAGAGTTATAAGGTGTCCTTTGTAGTACATGTGTTTCGGAAGTTAACCGTCCTTTGCTTCATCAGCCACATGCCAATCTCGATCTAGCACAGAAAATAATGCCACGTCCCCTAATGCTAACACGGTTTACAACAACGGAACCATCAGACATACTAGCGAACGTCAAAAACATCCTACTTAAGGTAGCACAACTAAACAGAAAATTCCGAAAGATACTATGTTTTTGACCACAAAACTTTCATAATCTGCAGAAATTTGAATCTTTCAGCTGTCGACGCTTTGCTTTGCAATCGTGTTAATGTATTAAAAAAAACTCCTTGAAAATCGAATAAAGCGCAACATGTTAACACATGAGGTTGGAGAATCAGGACGTTTGCTGTATACAAATGAGGACTTTGCGATAAGGGAAACTGAAAAGGTCATACTGCTTGATGAAAATCTGTTCACTTCGTTTCTTTGTAGGAAGTAAGTAGCTGCACTAGGAGAACCTGTTGTGTGTTTGATTTCAAAACTCGTTTGGGGCAAATCATTTTCGCGATTTGCGTAACACAACGAATTTTTGGCAATTAATTTTACGAAAAGAAAAGACTTTACCTTGCTATAACATAATTGATAAAACAGTAGATAAATAAGTGATCACCGTTAGTATGCTTTATCTACATACTACCCTGTTTCGTCTTGTCAGTGATATTATTTGCCTAAATTGTTGAAACCTGGGAGGCGATCTAAGGATGAAGGTGAAATTTCTCAAATAATCAATAAATTTCTGCATTGAAAATAATTTCAAACCAACGTCCAGTACGTGTTTTATTATGAAATATTGGGTTAGTACGTATCATGGTGGATACGGCAAACACGGCGTCAAAAGTCCTGGATTACACAAAAGACAAACAAGAGAAAAATGCCTTTTCATACAACATAATTAGATACAGAGGACCCAAATAATTCAAATGCATGGAATTTTTGTAATCTAAAGCCTTCTGCCACCTTATTTATTTAATTGTTCCTATCAAATCCGTCTGGTGATGGATAATCAACGGATCTGTACACAGAGAAAAGGTATATTCTCCTTATCGTAGATCTTTCTTTTGTTCATCGAGTTTGAATTAATGCTATGTTTATATGTTTCTTTTTTTGTTTTGTTTTTATTTTATAAACAAGAAAACGTTTGCAGAATGAAAATCGAAAATTAACTTTATATTATGTGCATTAACACCTGCTTTACTTTTCAAATGACTTGTTTTTCGTAGAATTATTTGAACTTAATCTCGTTACTGGAGTACTCTGACTCCACCAGGAAGACAAAAAAAAAAAAAAAAAAAATTGACCTTCCAATAACATGAGCATTTTGTCGACACATCAGCACTGCACGACATAAAATATGATCAATGCATAATTTCCGTTCTCCTTCTGTCGATTTTGTGATAGAAAGCATTAATGATCCGTGATATCCGTTACGCGGGAAACGGAACAAGATAATGAATATAGCTAATGTATATAGGTCACTTAAAAGGAATTCAAACGGAGGCGGTTTATCGAACAATGTAATGTGGCAGGGTGTCCCATATCAGTCTTGTAGACACTTCATCAGTATGAGAACAAAACAGCCCGCGCTTTTAAATACGTTAAACATTATGAGACAATTATTGTTGTTTGAGAGGCTTTCAGTTTCTTTTACGAATGTGTAATTGCTTCATTATTGTTCTTTAAACGCGGTCGTAAAGTCTCGTGTTGATTGGTCCTTTGTGTTACGTTGATTGTTTTATTAATAGTGTCTATATGATAGTAAACACGCACCATTCTTTATCTTTTCCATTCGGCACATAGTCGCATTAAGGCAGCATTTGTGTATCACCTATCTAAGTTGTTGTTGTTATACATTGTTCCTTAAAGGAATTATAGTTTTTGATGGTAAACAATAAAAACAATTGTTCTTTAATATATATCGGAAATTAATAGCCCTTTTTACTATTTTTGAGAGCACGGTATTATCCTGATTTATATATAGTTACATGGTTGACACAATCTCTGAAACTGAAGATATCTAACCCTCCGATATCACTGGTCGTATTTTAAAGCCTCTTCTTGCAAACTTTCTGATGTTCAAATATCACTCATGTTTGATTTATTTGAGATGACACGACAGTTCGTTTTATAAGGCATATGTTCTTGTACTGTTGGACATATTAAAGACGAACTTACTTATAAATCACTTATAAATTATAACCTGTGGTCCATACATTCAGACCTGATATATAAGTGCAAATACAGTATCGATCGGTTAGGCTTAACCATGTTTGTTAAATCGTTAAGCAACATTTCTTGCTTAATTAATATGTTACGTAGACATCTTGTACTGAAGTTGAAATATGGGTCAATGTTGCATTCATTGTTAGCCTTGCATCATCATTTAAAATGTCTGCCAAGTCCTAAGTGAAATGCGTTCTGCTAATTTCTAACATTAGTATATTCCTTAACCCTTGGCGTAATTTGGAAACAAGGGAATCAGGAAGCGGGCATATTTAAGAGATTAAAATTATGAAGTTAAATATAATTCATAATTTTAATGTAGAGACAGTGGATGTCTAATTAAAATGACACATTCTAACACTATGTTTAAATCGTCTTTCATAAGAGTGATATTAGCTCTTGAATACGAATTATCATTTTTATGTATTTTAAATTCATTTATATTATGTATATGTTTAAAGTGAAACGTAATGGAGTAGCCAGATTATCAATATATTGTGTGTAGTCTTCAAGTAAAGTGACTTATGTAGAAAGAATTCACGGTTGATCATAAACCTACCTTTTAGTGAGGAAGATATATTGTTTAACGGTCTAGTACTACAGCCTACATATGTAGATACTTTAGTATATCCCCTTTATGATGTGATATGGTATATTGATTTGTGTTGTCAAATAGTCTGTTGTAATGGACTTGGTGTATTATTCCAATAAATGGAACAAGAGGCAATTGAAATAAAAGAGTTTGTTGTGTTGAAGTTAAGCAGAGGGGTTCGTCTGTTTATTCTTAAAGACTCGCAAAATGTGAACATCAACTCTTCAATGACAATTAGTATATATGTCATATGTACATTTTCATTAGACAAATAGCATCATAGAGGTTATTAGCCAGATCTAGTAGACGTACGTATACTTATAAATATAATGAACCATGTGATCGAAGGTGAAATGTTTCGTAGTATTGACACCTGATGCAATTACCAAACGTTTGGCTGAGAAATTAAGGATAGCTTTAACATAACCCATGATTAAGCAGCAAGATGTGACCGATTGTCTGACACAAAGAAAAAACAGGACTGCATGGCGGCCACGATCATCCCGGAATAAAAACATAGGACCTTCTCGAACAAAAACAAAAACAATAAAAACAACAACAACAACAACAACAACAACAACAACAACAACAACAACAACAACAAAAAGCATACAATTTAGCATGAAGAATAAACTAATTAGAAAGTTTGGACAATTTCTTAATTATTTATTTAATTTACAAATTTTGATTTAATTGATAATGAAAAAAACACATAGGCTTCAATCAAAACTCATGAATAAACAGCGCGTGGACATCATAATGTTAAATGACCGATATAGAATTCAGCTGCCATGTATCTGGAGTTTAGAGTTTAAGAAAAGGTGAACCAGTACATATAGATATGATTGTTGCATCAATCGATTCTCAAATAGATGTATTCGGAGTATAATATTCCACATCAACAGAACTACTGTATAATCAGTTCTAATGTATAAGGATCCAAATAGGGAAATTTCAGATCGATGGAACCAGTATTTATCAAAGGTGAGGAAGAAATTATCTACTTGTAGGAACATAGAACCATAAAGTCAATGGAACCAGTGTTTACATCGCTAAGGAATTCGTCCTTTTTTTAGAATCTGTATCTGGAGTTCGAGTTTCAGTAATTATGAAATTATCATTTCACCTACGACCGAAATCATTATCAAACTCATTCAGTTGTAAATGTTGCATTGCCCGGATTGCTCATCCTTCAGAAATAGGTATAAATGATATTGCTATTGATAAACAGTATCCACTCAAAGTTACGTAGCCGGAGTCTGAGAAAACATCTGTTAGGAAATAAAACATAGTGATCTGAATACATGACACATTTTATGATCCTGGTTACCCAAGTAGTTCAGTTTAAACAGTAGGCTGACACCGCAGAGGTCTAATCACATGTGTAATGTTCAACACAAAACCACACCACACACATTGTTACATATCAGCTTCCGCCACTCAAACAATTCCACGGTCGACCGCAAACCCATGGCTACCAGAGTGAGCATTTAAGACTTGGCTTGCGGTGAAAATATCTGGATTGGATTAAAATCATACATCGGAAAAAAAAGATATCCATAGATTTAGGTCATGAAAAATATATTCATCAGGACATGAACCTGACATTAAAATTGATATGTGTTGGTATCTTGGTTTACTGCACATTTATTAGAAAGTTGAAATATCGGCAGTATTAGAGAGTATTTTCATATAAAACAGATCATTCATGCGTAGAAAACAAAGTCGTTCGTTTACATTAAGAAATCGAATTCCTTTGGCAGAGATCGTAAGTACACCAGCTTTATCAAATGCAGCAGAGTAGGAAAACAGGTGGTAAGAACAATGTGGCTCCTTCATGCCTTTCACTATCCCTATCTCCACAGCTGGAAAACAGTAAGTCTCATTCTGTAGTAACTATATCACAGCAATTTGATATTACACGATAGAAGTAGTTGTTATTCAGCGGTTCTAGTTTACCGTAATACTGTAAAATCCTACATTTTCCTGGGGCTCAGTTCTCGTAAATCATTATTACGTTGACTCTTG